CCGGACGGGGTTTCAGAGGCTTGTGCAGGTAAACTGGCCCAAAGACAATATCCTCTCCAGATGGAAAATATATATCTTGGCGCCTCGTTTCTAGAATCCGCTAGAATTTTTCATATCCCTACCCGTTTTAAAAATATTCAGGAAAAACGGTCAAATTTGTCCGGAATATGACACTTTGACGGTAAGTTGCCAGAAAAGGCTATTATGTGAACAGCACAAAAGCATAACCAAGAATCAGCTGCTGCAGCGACGTGCTTTGTTTTAGCAACCAACTCTAGGCTCTGACAACTGAATATTCGTTACCACGGCTACTAGGTAAATGTACGCCAGACCACGTCTCCCGTCACAGTCTTCGCGATATCTCACGAAACACTGTTACGCTGCGACGCGCCTGTCGCACATATAGCTAGGCCTGCGGCGCTGACACCCGAGACGGGGTAATAGGAGTGTATATACAATTTTTCGAAATTTAGTCTTTTTAATGATTTAATCGACCATTTGATCATTTTCGGCTCATTTTTGTCAATAAATGCCCCCTAGCACCTAAACGGTACAAGATAGAGCCAAACGGACGAAAGTTTTGCCCGAAGGGCTCTACTTTGACGAGTTACCCCCTAGGGAAAAAATATTTGATACAAATCATTTTGCGACCTGTAGTTTTTGATTTTTTTAAAAGCCAATTTTTGAGCTAGAATGCTCATCTTCGAACTCCATCTGTCTTTTTATGGTACAAAACGACGGAATTTAAATTCCCAGATCGCTATCTCAATTCCTTCTCGAGTTATCGTGCGGACACACAGACAAACAAACATACAACCAAACAAACAGAATGAAACTTTTCGGGTCAGTGGAGTTATGGGCTTCGCTAATCGCTCAGCCAAATACATGCAAGTTATGCCAAATCCCTTCTAAGTTATTGATGTTAGCTTATGGATCCAATAACACACCTCTGAAAAAATGTATAAGACTATCGAAGAAGTTAAATACACTTCCAGGCAAACTCTAAATGACTCCAAACGTGTCCGAACAACGAAATAGGTTAGATATATTTTGTAATATGCCATTCACAAAACGAGTCGTACATGTACAGTCTACCACTCGATATCTCGCTCCCCAGGGTAAAAAAACCATGCTACCACCGTCACTTAGGGTAGGTAGGTAGGGTGAGTAGAAGGTAGGTGAGAGAGAGAGAAAGAAAGGAAAAAGAAAAAGAGAGGAAAAGAGAGAGGAAGAGGAAGGGAGAAGAGAAAAAGGGAAGAGATTGAAAGGATAAAAAAGTAATAATAATAGTCACACACGCTTTACTTTCGTCGTGCACTATACTGGCCCCCTGGCACCCCCTTCCTAAAGAAGTTTGAGGAAAATGATGAAAAGGGAAGAAAGGAAATGGAAAGAGAGAAAATAAAAATTACAGAAATGAGCAAAATGAGCAAATTTTCTACATTTTATAAAAGTGAAATGGTTCTTTTACCTTTGGCCCTTGGCCCGTATGAGATATGCTGGTCTGGTGAGGAGCGAATGCATTTCCCATCAGCTGGTTCAACACCTTGGCTTGGCTTGCCACAAAGCATCGCAAATTTCGTGGCATGCAACTCGCAATTTAAACGAAATTTTCCTCTTACTTTTACCATGAAGTTCAACTTTAACGTCCTGTTCAGCTCGCCTCTTCAATTTTTTTTTTTCGCTCGCTTCGCTCGCGATTGGCTTACAATTTCATGGCGCTTAAAGCTACTATTTTCCCCGATTGGTTCGCTCGCGACCTAACGGATGGTTGCTCTTTTCTACGGAGCCTAATTTTAATCACTCTTTGTTGCTTATCAATTAATTATTGAACCTTTTCCACACAATCACAATATTAATCTTAAATTTTGCCAAAGCAAGTAAATAGTCGCGAATAGTCGTGAAATATTCCGAAATAGCTCGAAATAGAATGAAATAATCCGAAATAGACGGGAAATAGCCGAAATGGCAGGAGAAATAACCGAAATGGTAGGAGAAATAGAACGAAGTAGTCCGTACGCTACGAACTCTAGTGATTTCCCCCCAGCCGATTCTTCAAACTTCCTTTACGTTTTCTGGAGGAATCGCGCTTTGGCACTTGAGCGAGTCTGAGGAGCGCGCTCGCCGCTTCTGTGTAGCGCGCTCCGAGCTGAGCGGTTCTGATTCGGAGCCGCGCTGATGAGCGCATCTGAGGCGCTGCTCTGGTGCTACGCGGGTCTGAGTTGATGCAAGGATTGTGAGCGCTTGTTGATAGGAGGTACCGAACACATTGATCATATTTTCGTATTATTTGTTCGCAGTCAGTGCGAATAAATACGCAACCAGAGCAAGGGGCAGCCTTCTCTAAGCTGCGTACACCAGAATTTAATTTGCGTTACGTTGAGCAGACTTAGTTCACTTAAAAATGGTGTGCCCAGAAACAGAATTCATACAGATCCTCCTGTTTTTCCATACCACGATCAAAATCTGTCCGACTGGTATATGAGAGATATAAAGACTTGGCATTACCTCCAGAGAGAGTACAGTGCAAACTACAGGATTACACTGTTCAGAAAATAACCAGTCGTTCTGTAGTTATTTACTGTTGTAATTTTTAACAATGTTCGCTCCGTTTACAACTGTCACCAAAGGATGAACACACAAAAGGATGACATCCCGTATTTATAAACAATGCTTTTTAACGATGTGATCTGCTGAAACTTGTCACGCTACGTGTTCGGCTTCGCCTGAGCTTGCCTTTTGTTATATTGGCGAGTGAAACCTGACCTACAGTGAGTGTTCGCCGGTAGCCTCAGTACGACGTCACTATGACGTGCACCGCAATGGCCCATGTGCTTGCCACCTTTTGCATTGTGAGCGCAACGGCGAAATCGATTCCCTCTTTTGCCGTAAGTACTGGATAACTAAGTGTGAAAAGTAATGCATTTTCGAAATACACACACGGTGCCAATGGCAACACTGTAAAGAAGAGATGAATCATGAACGGTGCTCCGTACCTGTCCTGGGAGACTTGTGACGGAGCGCTGCGTTTCCAGTGAACCTGCTTCGCTCAGCAACTTTGTGTCTGCCGCACGCGCTCCTATTATTTGAGTTCAGAACTATTTACGGCCCTTTTCCTAAGCAAAAATATGCCACATAGAATGGGTTGCCAAGATTTTTCACAAGCCAGTCCCGTGTCTAGGCAGGGGCGTAGGAGCCTATGGCGCCCCACCCCAACGTTTGGGCCGGTACAGCTAGTAATCTAAAATTTAACCCTCGAACCACAAAGAAAGCACCAGCTCAGGAGCATGATTTCGTGTGAATAAATGCACAAAAGTGTTTAAATCAACGCAGAAACGTGTGCTAAAAATTTGTATTTGGATGAGGTGCACTTGTTTTAGATGCAATAAGACCAGGAATAATCGTTCTAAGCACACTAATCGCGAACCTTTTTAAATTTCAGGGACCATACATCCCCGTAGTGCAGAAAATATACATGTGTGGCAAGAATCCCTCTGAAAACCCCGCTCTGTTTTTCCTGAAGGTCAGCCACTTCAATCCAGTTAAGCCGCATGAAAAGCAAAATATCACTGGAAATATAACTTTGCCATTTGGAGCCGATGATTCGTACTGGGTAACAAAACCTTTTGTTTGGCGGAGCGATTAGCGAAGCCCATTACTCCACTGACCGGAAAAGTTTCATTCTGTTTGTTTGTTTGTCTGTCTGTCCGCACGATGACTCGAGAAGGCATTGAGAGAGCAATCTTGGAATTTTTTTGTGTAAAAAAAAAAAGAAAGATCGAGTTCGAAGATGAGCATTCTAGTTCAAAAATTGACTTATAAAAAAATCAAAAACCACAGGTCGCCAAATGTAATTTTTATCGAACATTTTATTATGGGTTTCTATGGGGTAACTCGTAAAAGTACAGTCCTCTGGGTGAAAGTTTTGTCCGTTTTGCTGTATCTTGTACCGTTTGGGTGCTAGAGATCACTTCTTTTCGAAAATATGGTGCAAATGACCGAATGATCTATTAAATCGTAAAAAAGGTTTCATATCGAAAAATTGAAAAGGGATTAGTACTTTAACCACACATTTCGCCCCAAACTACACCTCATCTTTTAGGGTCTAGATGCCCTAAATTATCCACTATGACTCAAACGCGTTAAAACGTTCATTTTAGAACAATCCGTCAAAATCGGAACTTTTACTGAATATCTTTATCGATTATCAGAAGTTTCATTTCCCTAATTTTAGAGTAATAAGTCCCCCACAAATGCTGTTAGCATGGCAAATTTGGGGGCCGAAGGGCCCTATTTCCGTATACACTCCTCTTAACTTGACTTGGGTATCAGCGCCGCAGGCCTAGCTATATGTGCGCTGGGCGCGTCGCAGCGTAACAGTGTTTCGTGGGATATCGCGAAGCCTGTTACGCGAGACGTGGTCTGGCGTACATAAAACCATTCGGTCATTTCCACCTTATTTTTGACAAGAAATGATCTCTAGCACCCATACGGTACACGATAGAGCAAAACGCCCAAAGGCTTCTCTTTTGATGAGTTACCCCGAAGGAACCCAGAAAAATTTTCTTTTAATAAGTGACTATTTTAAACGCCGTTGTTTTTTATTTTAAAGAATTTAATTTTTGAGCTAGAATGTTCTTTGAACTTGAACTTGATCTGTCTTTTTAGGATACAAAACACGACTCTGAAATTCCCAGATAGCTATCTCAATTCCTTCTCGAGTTATCGTGCATACAGACAGACAAACAAACAGAATGAAATTTTTTCGTTCAGTGGAGTAATGGGCTTCGCTAATCACTCAGCCAACAATTATGCTGTTTCATTTTTGAGGGTCAGGTGCTCGATCCAGTCGACGTTTGTTTGACAGTTTGCATTGAGAAGTAGTACTGTGCGAAATTTGAACGTTGTGCGATGTACGGAACTCTACGCGACACGCAATGAAAGTGTCTTGTTAGTTTTGGCGGCCATTAGGTGCATCATGTTTCTGTCGCTTTTGTGGTGGGACGGTGACACCGACGCACGCACCCGGGTGTATGAGCACACTAACAACGGTACGGACTAACCATCGGACAGGGTGCGGAATCCATCCCCCTCTCACTCTGAGCGTAATAGACCGTTCCGGCAGTGCGCTTTTTGAGAAGAAATGAAGAAGTCAGGACCGGCACCAGTAGCTAAAGTTCGCTGATTTATGTCATTTGACACTGCAGTTCGACGTGAATGACCTCTTTTAAACCCCTTGTAACTGACAATTTTAGTTTTCACTGATTTTAGCCTGTATTTTGGAACTGTTTCCGGTGGTGATTTCATCCATTCTTCTTTAAACGGGCACTGCCGGAACCGTCTATTACCCCAGACTAAGGGAAAACCGGGCATCTGCCGGGCAACTACCGGGCAACTCCCGGGAAACTTCCGGGAAACTTCCGGGCAACACCTGGGCAACATCCGGGCAAATACCGAGCAACCACCGGGCAACCACTAAGCAAGCCTTACCTGGTGATACAAGCGTGTTGCCCGGTGGCAGACACTTCACGGCTCATAACTAGGGCTGGCACCCTACGGCGTGGGCTTGCTTGGTGGTTGCCCGGTAGTTGCCCGGTAGGTGCCCGATAGTTGCCCGCCAGATGCCCGGTTTCCCCTTTATCTTGGGAAGGGCCTAGGTATCCGCGATTGCGGCGTTTTACTCTGGTACGATGGCGTTAACTTGTTTGCGATGCTGTTGCGTGTGACGGTAGTTGTCGACTTATACTACGGTAGCTATGTGTACGCCAGTCCACGTCTCGCGTAACAGGCTTTGCGATACCCCAAAGCGTAACAGGCTTTGCGATACCCCAAAACACTGTTACGCTGCGACGCGCCTGACGCGCATATAGCTAGGCCTGCGGCGATGGCGCTGACACCGAATGTGTGGTGAAACTATTACTTCCCTCACAATTTTTCCATGTGACGCCTATTTAACGATTTTATAGGCTATTTGGTTATTTACATCTTATTTCCGACAAGAAATGCCGCCTTGCACCCAAGCTGTGAAAGAACGAGCAAAACGGACGAAATTTTCCCCCAGAGTGACTTTACAGAAACCCGTAAAAAACTATTTGAAAACAAGCAGGCCCGCCCTTCCGCCAAACGAAGTTGCCTGCGGCCCGACCATTTCTGTCACGCGATTTGCTGAAGAACATGATTGAATGATGTAGCGGGACTTCGGCCTGCTGGAACCAGTCGTCTTTGAGTTTGCCCCGGAGACACGAGAAAGGGATGTAACGGTGAAGGACCGCGACAACAACCCACCCTTCTGCTTAGAAAACATTTTTTGGGGCTGGGGGGAGAGTTTATTTCCCATTTTGCGGTTTTTAGGCCTTTTTCTACAACTTATTTTTCACAAGAGCAATTTTTAGCTTATTTTCGTCAGAAAATACCCTCTACCGCCTAAACGGTAAGATATAGAGCAAAACGGACGGAAAATTTTCGCCCAGAGGGCTCTACTCTGACGAGTTACCCCATAGAAGAATATTAAACAAATCTTTTTGGGAGAATTTTTGAACCTTGGATACCCTCATTCACACCCTTAGGGGTGGTTGCCAGGATTTGCCGTAAGCGTTTCGTTCTCTAGGACCCTGAAAATTTCAAGTTTCTAGCACATGTCCTTCTAGTGGAACAGACAGACAGACACACACGAGGTCGTTTGCATAACCCCGCTGGATAGCTTTTTCAAAGCAGAAGGGCGGGCTAAAAAGGAGACAAATTTGTCTACGGTTTCTTACTGTTCCAGGTGCAAACCCGGGTTGATAAGTGGTCTGGAAATCAATGGAAAGAGAACTTCTTTGTCTTCAGGTTCCCTGGTGGCATTTGCACAAGTGGACGGGCTAATGCCCCCGACGTATTCCGCGTACTTTTCAATCACACAATAACGTCTGGACCATGTTTTATAAAACCCGTAAGCGGTCTTCTATGCAAATCATGCACTGTAAACTGGGCAGGTCGACTTTTTAAGTCTACCGTCTAAAAACCGTGATTATTTTCCACAAACATCGAAATTTCTCCCGCGGGCGAGCAGCGGAGCAAATTCGTAGGCTTGCTAAGAAAACCGCAGCTGATGTGGGCTGATTCAACGGAAACGACGAAAGTCTCTCCCCGCCCGGGTCGACTGCGGGCTCGTCGGAAAACCCGACGTGAAGGATCGACTTTTCTCGCTGGGACGGTCCCGTGCACCGCTTCCCCTTCCCCTCCCTTCCCCCGGCCCTGGTTTTCGGTACAGTTTCCAGGACTTTTTCTTTTTTTTTTTCTTTTTTCCTCCCCATTCAGTGGAATGGTCTATTGAAGGTCCAGGCACCGAAAACCACGCCTCAGTGCACCAAAAAGTGCGGGCGGGCCAGTAAAGAAACACATGAAGCGTCCGCGCCGCCCGCCTCGCTGAGTGACGAGGCTCCCCGAACCACCGATCCGTGTGTTCCAGGTCAGCTCAGCGGTCGAAAGCATCGTCCCATCCAACAACAACGAAGCAACTCCTACAGCAAGTGAGGGTTCGAGGACGGGGCGGGTGGCTAATTTTGAAACCCTCCTGGATCTCGACCCCATCCCCCTCCCGCGCCCGTTTCCGCGCTTCTCATTGGTCGAGCCCGTCGAGGGCCAATAGGTGGTTATGTGCAGAACGCGGTGCGTCTAGCCGCTAGCCGCCTCGTCCCCACAACAAACAACACTGAGCAGCTGCGAGCCCAATCTTTCCGCGACACACAGAGCATAGCATTTTTCTCAATTTCTTTTGCGGGTCGATCAGTGTAGCGATGTACCAACTCGTCATTACGCATTTGAGAATTATATTTTCATAAATAACAAGGTAGGTAAAAGTTACATGTAATTTTTTTTA